AAAAAAAAAAAAAAGGCGGGGGAAAGGACTCTGAGGACTGAAAATAGGCTACCTGAACTTCATAAGCAATTTTGTTACGTGTTGCAAACAGTACAGAAAAAAACACCCTTCTTGGGACTGATCAGGCTGTAAGACTAGCCCTAAAAACGGCCACTAGCGGGAATGAACTGCCAGGACAGTCCCCACTAAGCCTTCTGCCACAATCATGGGAAGGGAAATAGTGAAGGGGCAAGATCAGTTTAACCTGACTCACCCATGGCCGGAAGTGTCACGATGCGGACATGACTAGATGGCCTTTGCAAATCCCCAAAGCTTGACTACTCCCTTGGCCAACTGCGGGGTTGCGGTTTTCGTAGTCAGGCAGGGTAGGATCTGTTTTCCATTTCTGAGAATGAGTGGAGGATGGACCCCAGAAAAGCAAGCCTCAGACTGACATTCCCAAAAGCACAAATTGAAGATCTGGAGAGTGAGAGCTCTCAACTTTCCTATTCACCGTAAAATTGGATGCATCTTTTGTTGATAAACACTCCTAAGATTCTTTCACCTCCGCAAAGTCAAACACTGACTTTGTTTTTTTTGAGACAGTTTCGCTCTTGTCACCCCGGCTGGAGTGCAATGGTGCGATCTCAGCTCACTGCAACCTCCGCCTCCTGGGTTCAAGCAATTCTCCTGCCTCAGCGTCCCGAGTAGCTGGGACTAGAGGTGTGCGCCACCACACCTGGTTAATTTTGTATTTTTAGTAGAGATGGGGTTTCACCATGTTAGCCAGGCTGGTCTTGAACTCCTGACCTCAGGTGATCCACCTGCCTCGGCCTCCCAAAGTGCTGGGATTACAGGTGTGAGTGATCACACCCAGCCTAAAGAACACTGACTTTCAAAATACATGTTTTAAGCACCTGAAGTTTCTGGGATGAAGATTAATTCTTGCCTTTGCATCAAGATCACGTGCATTTGAAGTCTACTTCCAAAAGAATATGGCATTCAGCACATCACTAAAGCCAACCTTTCTAGGTCACCTGCCTTTCCCATCTTTAAAAGAAAACAAAGTTCCTTGGAAGATGTGCTATATATAACAAGAAGGTTGGCTTCGCGCTTTCTTTTCTTTTTTTCGAGACGGAGTTTCACTCTTATTGCCCAGGTTGGAGTGCAATGGCGCGATCTCAGCTCACTGCAACCCCTGCCTCCTGGGTTCAAGCGATTCTCCTGCCTCAGCCTCCCAAGTAGCTGGGATTACAGGCACCCACCACCACACCTGGCTAATTTTGTATTTTAGTGGAGAGAGTGTTTCTCCTTGTTGGTCAGGTGATCCACCCGCCTCGGCCTCCCAAAGTGCTGGGATTGCAGGTGTGAGCCACTGTGCCTGGCCTTTATTTAAAAAACAAAACAAAACAAAACAGTAAGCCGGGCACAGTGGCTCATGCCTGTAATCTCAGCACTTCGGGAGGCCAAGGTGGGCAGATCACAAGGTCAGGAGTTCGAGACCAGCCTGACCAACATGGTAAAACCCTGTCTCTACTAGAAATACAAAAATTAGTAGGGCGTGGTGGTGAGCACCTGTCTCAGCTACTCAGGCGGCTGAGGCAGAAGAATTGTTTGAACCTGGGAGGCAGAAGTTGCAGTAAGCTGAGATCGGCCATTGCATTCCAGCCTGGGTGACACGGCAAGACTCCATCAAAACAAACAAACAAACAAACAGACAGACAAAAAAACACACCAATGCTGGGCAATTGGCTCATACCCCTATCTACTTTACACGAAGCTTCTCAGTGCACATGGTCACATTTCCTGAGAAAGGAAACAGGAAAGGACTGGGCTTGGCTTACTTCAACCCAACTTGTGTCCAGAAGTGTAACAATGGGGAGTATGGTTAGATCCCCTCTGCAAATCTCTGGTAGCCACTCCTGACCACCTTTCTTGCTTGCTCTTTAATTCTAGATTTCTGTGAACAAGGCATGTAAACAGTGCCACCTCTGGGCCAAGTGTGGATCCTTTTAGCTTTTCCTAGCCCCAAATCATCAGGAGGAAATGCCCTAATTTGGGTAGCGCTGGACTCAGTCAAGACTTGGGTCTCCTTAGAGAATGAGTGGAAGAGTATGGTGGGACAGGCTGCCAGGAGGTGCACAGGGCCTCCTGGGACCATTATCAGAGCCAAGTGCCTTAAACTAAAATGGAAACGGGGAATATGTGTATGTGCTCGCCTCATACTCGGGGGATCTGAGATGGGAAGAACAGATCAGGTGCAAAGCACACTCCTCATATTGGGGTGTGGGAACAGTGCTGCGCTTCTTTGCTTCTGGCTGCCTGTGGGATCGTATCCACACGAGGGGACCTGGACTGACAGGACAGTGACCTCAGGACCTCTGTGCCATGCCCTTCTCTGCTCCAGACCAACAAAGCTGGACCAGTGAATCACGTCGCACAAACAGATCCCCTTGTCTGGGAAAAAAAGAATGTGGGAAAACAGGGAGGTGAATGAACCAGGCTATGCTGAGCCCACTTGGAGGGGCTCAGCAAACACTTTGTTGAATCAGTGAACAAAGATGCTGGAGAGACTTGTGACCAGGGCAGCAGGGGCAGTCCCTGGTGCTGAACTGCAGCTCCCAACACCAGCCCTGGGGCATTCGCTGCCCCTCCTGACACAGGTGGGTGCTTCCTGGCAAGTTCCAAAGCCTGTCCTATGGGCAAAGCATTATGATATGCCCTGGACTGGATGTAAGGAGTTAGACAGGAAGAGGTCAGGCCACTGCTGCCAACAACTGGACACTGTTCTTACCCCTGGAGGGGGCAGATTATGAAACAGTTTCTAGAAAAAAAAATGCAGGATGAGACACATTTATTCTACATCTGGTCACAATAAATCTCATACACCCAGACCACAGCCAGGATGCCACGTGGGTACAAGCAGCTGGCGGAAATAGAGATCATCTGCTCTGGTGCTCGTGGCCACTCCGGGCAGAAAGCAAAGGTGCCCCATGGCACCTACTCAGAGGCACTGAGGCCACATTCCCATCTCCAGGCACCAGGGATGTCTCTGGAGGGTGATTCCATTTGGAGTTTCCAAAATCCAGGACTTCTGAGAGCCAAGCCCTAGTTCCAAGTCATCCTGAGTCCAGGCTCTGCCAGACTCTTGAGTACCTGGAGCTGGTGGCAAGGTAGCCTGGGGGCTGAAAGGGCCTCAGGCTGGATCACGGGGCAGCCCTGGGCCTCAGGGCCGACGATCCTTTCTGCGGTTTTTGTGTCCCACCTGGGAACCTCGCCGGGCAGCCTTCACCAGGCCTTTGAACTGTCCCTGCAGCTTCATCTTCTTCCTGCAGGGCCAAGGAACAGAAGGGTCACAACTGGCTGAGAATAGGAGGCCCCCTCCTGATGCCAAATGATGGCTCACCCCCAGCGCCAGCAGGGATGAGAAGTGGGCCTCCAGGTGGTGGCCAGCACATGAACTGGGCAGACCACGCGTGGTTCCAGCTTCCACACAGCTCATGTCCTGACCGGGACATTCCACTTTGGCACAATTATCCCCCTGGAAACAGGCCTCACTGCCATTCTTCCTCTAACGTACGTCCAGAGAAGGTCAAAGCTCCCTCTGCCCACCCATCCCTCTATTGAAAGGTAACTCACAATCCATAGAAGCCAGAACTTTAGAATACCATTTCCCTAGTAACATCAGTTTCCAAAGCAGTCCTACACATAACCCAATTTAAGGGCCAAAGTCGGAAACAACTCTAATTTCCCACCAATAAAGGGATTAGAAAAGCAAATTATACAAAGCTATTAAAAATGATGACTATGTATATACCAGAAAACATCTGTATGACATAATATCATGTTTAAAGAAGCAGTTCAGGGCCGGGCGCAGTGGCTCACGCCTGTAATCCCAGCACTTTGGGAGGCCGAGGCGTGAGGATCACAAGGTCAAGAGATCAAGACCATCCCAGTCAACATGGTGAAACCCTGTCTCTACTAAAAATACAAAAATTAGCTGGGCATGGTGGCGCGCGCCTGTGGTCCCAGCTACTCGGGAGGCTGAGGCAGGAGACTAGCTTGAACCCGGGAGGCAGAGGTTACAGTGAGCCAAGATTGCACTATTGTACTCCAGCCTGGCGAGAAAGCAAGACTCTGTCTCAAAAAAAAAAAAAAATAAAGAAGCAGTTCAAGTCAGTAATATAGGTAGGTACCAGCTACACGATGTAGGTGCATGTTAAAAAAAAAAAAGCTAGAAGAGACTCAAATTGAGTTGAGAGTTTAATAAGGCCTTCCCTTCTTTAGAGCACTCTGCTCCCTTGTCCCCTCTCATCCTCCAGCTGCCAGCCTGGCACAGCACCATACCTGCGGTTGAGCTTGCTTCTGTTGAGGGGGATGTAGGCATAGGGATCTGGTCGGCCTTTCTTCTTCACATCACCTTTTGCTTTCTGCTTACCCAGGAGAGAAACAGAGTCAGCTAGGAGTGTGGGGTTCCCCTTCTGTCCCTGCCCCAGACTTGACAGGCCCCATAACCTCCCTTCATCCTCTGCCTTAGGTGGTGCCAAAGAGCTCCTGTATCCTTGGAAGGCCATTCAACAAGGTCCCCCATTTCAGATGCCACAAGGCCTTGGTATACCCCTTCTTCTTTCCTGGCCTCAGCTGAGTTCCAGGAAGGTGCCTCTCAAGACAGTGATGGGCACAACTCCTCCTCGCCCCTCCCTGGTACCTGTCCAGTGCCAGGAGACCCCATGCCCTACATGCAGCGCTTACCTTGGCCTTGTATTCGGCCCCAGGCATAGCCTTCTTGGCCACAGGGCGATGAATGCCAGAGCCTCCAGCTATAGGGAGAACACAGGACCATGAGTCAGGCAAAGCCAGGGTAGCCTCCTCCTAGAAGGCAATGGGCACCCTCTCTGAGCAAGCTGCCAGGGAGCAGATGAGTGAAGACCAGGAACTTGGCTCTGTCCTCTATCAAACAGGACAAAGACCTTCCTCGAGGAGGGACTGTCTGGTGATTTGACAGTTAGATCACTGGGCTCCTCAGACTGACCCAGAATCCTTACAGCTTACCAGAGACCTCTGGGAACACATATATTCTCCACTAACACACTAACAAAAAATAACCCATATTCTCCAAAGTCAGACCGAATTCAGCCAGTCAGCCAGGTTGAACTCCCAGCTCTGCCACTTACAGCTCCAACCTCAGGCAAGCCTCTTAACCTCAGCTGTAAGAGAAGACATTTTAGGCTTTACCCTCTTATCTCATTTGGATTTCACACAAACACTGAGATAGAAGGACAGCTATTTAACCCATTGTACAGATGTGAACACTGTGGCTTACAGAGATCAGGATTCTTGCCCAAGGTCAGCTGTATTCTCCAGCCTGGACTTCAACACTCAACGAGTTGTGGATGGAATCCTACAATGTCAGCTCAGGGGGACTCTGAGATGACCAACACGAACTCCCCCATCCCCCATGTTTTTGCAGATGAGAAACTAGAAGCTCAGAGACAGACAGTGTAACCAGGCCAAGGTCACACAGCTAAGCAGAGGTTGGACAAGCAGCCCTGACCCCCTGTCTCTGCCTCATCGACTGGCAGGTACTCCTGCCTCAGCACCACTCCATCCCAGGGCACAGTAGGTGAGCTGGCCCTGGCTCGTGGGCGCCACAGGCGGAAGAGCCATGAGGTTGTGCAGCTGCGTTATGATGCTGTAGGGCTCTGAGGACACACCAGCTACTGGAATCAGAGGCTTCCCACAGGAGCCCCTGGACCTCCAGATGCAAAGCAAGGGCTCTGCTGCAAGGGCTTGGGGGCAGGGGTCCTGCACAGCTGCCCTGGGAGGAAGGAAGCAGAGGTGAAGCCATCTTGGCACTTCTAGCAGCTGCTCTAGGAGGGCAACAGCTGGTGGGCCCAGAGACAGAAACAGAGGGGAATCCTCTGGCCAGACCCAATACCAACCTTCCCAGTTCCCAGCCCCAGCACCGGCCAAGTGGCTTCTCTAAATCCAGCCTGACTCAGGGCTGGTGCTCTTAGGGTGACCAAGAGAGGCAAGTAGCTCGCAGAAGGGGCAGGCTCAAGCCTCTTGGGAGGCCTGGGCAGGTGGAGAGGAGCTGCGGCTCAGAGCTCCTCAGAAGGCTGGTGGTTCCATGCACAGATCTCCTAACCCACAGGCTCTCCCACACCCCCAGGGCCCCTTAGACTCCAGGCCAGTCTTGAGTGTCATATCAGCCAACCTCTGTTGGTGCCAAGTGAGTACAACCAGGCTGTGCACCCTCATGGCCCTGCCACCCCTTCCTGTGACTCCCTTCCCTAATGCAGGTGACAGGGATCCATGTGTCCCAGGACAGAGGAGTGGAAGCCTCACCTTGGTACTGAGGGGGTATCTCCAGCTCATCCTCCTCGGCCTCTTTCTGGTGCTTGAGCTTCTGGTGCTTTTTCTATAGAGAGGGAATAGATTGAGAGTGAGTGAACCAGGGGATGTGCCCACCCTTGGGAATGCCAACAGTAACAGCAGAGTACCCTGCATTGAGCAGGAGAGGCCCTCTGCTAAGAACCCCACCTCTCACTTACAGATGGGGAAACTAAGGCCCAGAGAGGGCAAAGAACTGTCTAAAGCCAAGCAGTGCAGGAGAGAAGCTCTGGCCACGTCCGGACTGCCGGGCTGGTGGCGGCTGCTCCTGCTCTGCCTTTCCACTCTGGGCCCCACCAAGGCCTGCAATTGCCCAGAGGGCTTCTGACATCAGCTTACCCAACCTTCCTAATGGGGAAAATGAGGTCCCTGGCCTCTTCAGAGAGAACAGCTTTACCAGTTCTTTGCTTCACACAAACCCCACCCCACTCTCCCTATTAATCACTCACTTATTGATCCCTTACTAAGTGCCAGGCCCTAGGGACACAGGGCACAGGATCTAGTTCCTGTGCTCCAGGGGTTCTCAGGCAGGTGGGAGACACTTGCTCAAGCCAGTCATCACTGATCCTCAACAATGCTACCATCCCAGCAGGTATGAGCATGGACAGTGAGACACGTCAACTTGTCAATTATATTCAACAGGAAGTGACAGAGCACCTACTGTGCACCTGGCGCTGTGTTAGGCAGTCCAAGGGAAGGAGGGAGAGCCCGACAGCAGCCCCAGCTCACCAGATGTGAGCCCAGTAATCAACAATCAGGCCAGGCAGAGGCATGCTGTGCAGGGAGGGAAGGTAAACAGAGGCAGCCCCAGCTGGCAGGGCTGGTCCCTGCACTGTGGTCTGTGCCACTGTGCCCCAGAAACGTCTTGAAACTGCAGATTCCCAGGGCTCCAGCTACCCAGAGGATCCAGAGGCAGGCTCAGAGGCCAACCAGGGGAAAGGTATGCCAGGTAAAGGGATCAGCCTGGGCAGAGTGAACAGGCTGCAGCACACACACAGTGTGCCTGGAGGATGGGGAACACCAGATCCACTGGCCGAAGCCCAGCTGAATGGGTTCCTAGCGGAGAAACAGGAACTGGGAGGAAGCTGACTCTGGCTGCACCATGGGGGATGATGGCTGAGCTGGCTCTTGGGTCAGCTGGTACCTGGTCAACAGCCCAGCCCGGGCTGGGCGCGGTGGCTCAAGCCTATAATCCCAGCACTTTGGGAGGCCGAGACAGGCGGATCACAAGGTCAGGAGATCGAGACCATCCCGGCTAACACGGTGAAACCCCGTCTCTACTAAAAATACAAAAACCTAGCCGGGCGAGGTGGCGGGCATCTGGAGCCCCAGCTACTCGGGAGGCTGAGGCAGGAGAATGGCGTGAACCTGGGAGGCGGAGCTTGCAGTGAGCTGAGATCCGGCCACTGCACTCCAG